CAGCGTCACATAGAATTAAATGAGAATGATATCTTCATCACAGATCATCATCATACATGCTTATAATTTATCATCTAAATCTTTGTCATTCCTTATACAGACAAATTTCAGTTAGACATGTGCAAAAAGAAATGTGGAATATAGGGACTGTCATTCACCTTTCCACAATCAAACATATTTTACTTATTGGAGTATTGAAAGTACTTTGAACTACAGCAAAATGTAGTTTTGTGATGAGGTACATGGAGCTCTGTAGACAAGTCAATTAATGATGACAGAACAACTTATTATAGTCTATTGATGTTGCGATATACTCTAAAGAGCTGATCTAATTATTTACTCTCTTCTATTTTCAGAAAAACCAACTAGGTCTGTTAGTATATGTGGCTGATAATCTTGCATATTTCCCATATAATGTTCATGATGAACCCTTATTTATTATGCATTATATAGAAATCATTGTATCGGTATCTGGTGCAAATTTATTACAATCGTTTAAAGAGGTGAGTAGAACCCGGAGTCTCTATTTCTCAATTCTTAGAAATTCCCTAATGATGTTTTGACAGCTATAGCATTCAAGATTACCAACAAAATGCTTGAAAGTCTGCCAGGCAACCGATTTCTAAAAAAGGTGTTTGTAGGTACTTGCATCTTTGCAGAAAAGTGTAAATAAAATGAATACATGTCACATTGCTCATTTTGTGTATGAAAATCTAAATACTACCGGGTTCTGCCGTAAATTCGCCCATCTGAAAAATCGCCCTGGCCGGTTTCACGGCTGGTGGGCCCTTATTTAGCGTTCAAATTTTCAAAAAAATACCGGATTCGACTCATACTCCGCCCTGGGCGATCTTATGGAGGATTCAATTTTTTTTTATAAAAATGTGGACCAAAAGAGCGCCGGGGCGATGTTGTGGCAGATATTACGAAGCCCGTCTTGTCCGGGAAAATAACCCTGCATTTATAAAAATGGTCTCAGAAAATGTTTAGAAAAAATAATGTTTCGCGTTGACCAAATATAATCATGCAAAGTATAAATTCAAAGCGTTTTAATACATTGGTGAGAGATCACATTACGTGAACAAGAAAGAAAAGCAAGCCAAAGTCGAAACGGGGTGCATCATGGACATGACACAACATACGCTTGCGACAACCGAGTAATCAGCGAAATCATTTTGGCTGCAATTGAACTTCAAGTACTTCTTTACAAACTGTTGCTGTGCGGCGATACTGCTGACATCAAGTGTGTGTTGACCGAAGTGTGACCCCAAGTCGCGCACTGAACTGGCACGTTACCGTAGCAACCTTTTTCTTTCGTGCTCCGCGCGTCGGTTTAGTAAAAAAATTTATTATATCTGACGATACTGTAATCACATAACTTGTCTGCAACTCTGGCTTTGAATATATCAACATCGTTTACTTGGTGCGCTGCTTTTCTAATGACACAAATTTGTTTACAGTATTGTACCGGCTCTGAATATTTCAACTTTGTAATGCTTTCATAATAATTGCGCAAACTCAAGTAATTTATATTATCGACTATATAATACGTTGCACTCGTAATAATTACGCAAACATAAACATGGGCGCATTTAAATCCTAGTAGTCAGGTGTCTTGTGATTCATCGATGTTCCCAATGGTGAATTATTTTATTCAAAATGAAGTGAATATGTAATATAATAAACTCTGGGCAGCGCACTTCGATCGCATTATTCACGTACATTTCGACTGATCTCTACTAACCATGTGTTTGAATTACGTGCGGCATTGGGCAATGACCTCCAGAATTCACTAATATTCAAATTTGGGTCACCCAGCTTCACCCAAATTAATATAGTTACCTATCATTTGTTCAAAAAATCTTTCAACTCTCACAAATACCACAAATGCGAAGAGTTTACTGAAAGGGAACGTCTTTTTTGGACAAAAAAACATGTCAAATACAGGATTATGTATGCAAGGTTAGATTTCTAGAACGTACATGACCGCTCAATTTTTTTTATTTTTAATAATCATGTCGCAGGTGAAATGCAGGAGACATTTTAGTTCGCCAATTTCCTGTTTACCGATCTTTAACTTTTTGTCAAGAGTGCGATACAGACAAAGATTAAACATTAACGATACCTACCGTTGTCAAATCAACCAAGAGGCTCGAATCAGGAAGGCTTGGGTATTTCAAACTTCGTAAATAGCATTCATTTCAAGCGCAGACTTTATTTGAATGTAATAAACATAAGGGAACTGACCATTACCACCCAGCCGGTTTCCTGTGAGTTTGACTCGGTTTACCGTACCGGTCATTGCTTTACCGTACCGGCCGGTGCTTCACTGTACCGGCTGGACAATTACCGTACTGATAAGACCAATACCGACTATTTATCACCTTCGATTAATGAATGCATGATAAACAAAGCCCCGGTAACTGATCGACACCCTGCCGGTAACCGTGAGTCATGCATAAATTAATTGGGCATTTTGCAAACAATAAGAATTTTTTTTTTACCCATTGAAAAGAACATGACTTGTACAACAGAGTGTTACGTCCCAGTCGACTAGAGGACTCGATGGTTTAATGATTTGTTTGTATTTGTCAGTAGCTCACACAGTAGAAAGAAAGTCGGACAACCATCGAAATACAAATAAATAAATTAAATAAAAAAGTCTTTCTGAATTTCTTCGCATGTGTTTTTTTCAATATATGTGTGTTATTCACATATTCATGATCGCCTGTAACGCTATACAACGACAGTCCTACATAGTAGTTTACCCTCGACGTTGAATAAAACGTCCGAACCTGTCGCATGAATTCGATGATACTTGCATAATGTGTTAGCGTGACTCGCTTGGCCGAGCTCACATGTATTTAAATTCGGGCTTTGGCATTCAAAAATCTGTTTTGATACTTTGACTATAATACGCGCAACGCGTGCACGTAGTCCAGATAAAATTTGAGTGCGTAAAACGGAATTTGACCTTGCTCTAGGTCAACATTTTTCCATTGCTTTTCGACCTCATTTTGTGATTTTGTTTATGGAATTGACCCAACATATTTACACACCCCCTCCAACAATCCCCAATGTAACTTTATTATAACAAAACAAAACAGAGTGTGCAAGTGTGCCAGTATATCTCTTTTTGGAACATGTGATTGGCCCTGAAAAGGGTCGTTTGGTTTGGAGCAGAATACGATTTAGACTGGAAAGGTCGGGACTTTTTTTTTGTTTTAAAAAAAATATATATAATTACAGCCAATACAAAGTCAGCTTGGACATTCAGTTGTGAGACATGACAAAATAAACAGTGCCAGCCATGGAGTTTGCGAATGAAAGAACAAAATAAACGCAATCAAACGCACCGACCATGCGCGTTGAAAATAAACTAATAGAACGTGTTGCGATGAGAAATCTCTCCTGCATCTATCATTCACGCAAACGCACACACATGCTATTTTCGTATGTTGAATACGTTGGCAACGTCGTCAAATATATAGCCCAATCACTGAATAAAAAAACATCCAAGCACACGTGCACTGGCGTCAGATGAAGTGAAAAAAATGAAAACAAAATTACGTCTGCACTGTGCATTTGTAACAATAACCAAAACCATTAGGTTACATGCCAAAACTACCGACTCAGGATTCATCATACACAAATATAGCCACTTTCATGGAACTGTTATTTTTGTAATCCACTTTGTTGGCTCAGTTGATTTGAGTGCACTAACCCCAATTTTAAAATAAAAATATTGTATAAAATAAAGACACAGTCATATATCCATCATTTGATTCTTCCAAAGTTGCGTTGACAACGACGGGACACCTTGGTGAAGCTCTCATTTTCACCATGGACGTACTGGGAGCTCCATGGTCTCACAAAAATCACATGTAGCATTATCACGCACAACTTGAATGTAAATATTATGCAATAATAATGGTAAAGTTTAATCTCTGACAAATAAAAAGACGCAACAAATTGAACTGGTGGTGTATATGACCTCGAAAGCTACTGCATAGCAAACATGAACAAAATGATTTATAAACAGACTATAACTACAAACGAAACAAATTCTACTCAAATTAATTCTACAGTTTTGCTTTCTCTGGCGATCCTGTGCATAAAACTGAAATTTAAACAGGTCGGCATTTTACCGGTAAACCGGAAAATCAATGCATAAATTAACTTGTCAGAAGTGTAAATTGCCTCCTGCCAGTACCATAACGGCCTTGCGGGTACGGCTTATGACCTTCGGGTACGGTAAAGCAGCGACCGGTACGGTAAAGAAACGCAATTATTTTTAGCGTCATATTTGAAATAGCGCGCTCGATGCAAGATGTCGGACGGGAAAATTGGGGTCTGTAAAAATGTTTGTTGGTTCAGTCAGGCAATGTGTGGACCAAAACATCGCCCACTATTTGAAACATCGCCCATGGGCGGGGTTTAGGATGGGCAGGGTATCAGCCGAATCCGGTATCATCAAATATTTTTTGGGGGCTTATATTTTCATTGAAAAATTCACCTACACCGATTTTCAACGCCGGCAGTTGGACCACCCAAACTAAAAGAAACTATTACAGTAGCTAATCTAAAATTTTATACATTTTTTTCTTGCTGGATTAAAAAGTAGATAGCGCATCTTTATCCAAAAAAACCACATTAACGAACCTCGTGCGCCAAATACAATTATTTTGTTTCATTTTATTAGTAAAAGACGTTTCAAATAAAAACGAACTGCAACTGCATTGCTTAGTAATACCGTACCCGACTGCGTTAGCGCCCATGCCCGGGCAAGCGCCCACCCCCCACTTTTGTGCAATTTTTATATTTGGGGTCACATTCGGCAAAGCGCCCACCCTTCAAAATGCAACTAATTTAAAACTTGGTCTTGCGTAACGAATCTTGGTAATCGTTTTTATAAATGCGTAGAACACGGTAACCGTGCGTAAACTACGCTTGGACAATGACCTGTTAATACATGTAGAATGCGGTAAATATTTCATGCCATATACAGTTTACCTCTCATTATATATACCTGTCGTTTATTCGCTGAAGTCAATTCCAACAGATCGTACTTCGACATCGATAATTCATTTCCGCATTGCGTTACCGGAAAGTCTTCAGGAATTTCCGAAGAATTGCGTCAGTACAACACAGCATTGTGATTGGTTAATAACCAACTTGACCCATTAGGTCAAAGGACGCCGCTGCAGGTGAAATCTGCAAATGCATCATGGCGGAAAGTGATTTTCATCGAGAGTTTGTCAGTGGAGATAATATGACAATTTTGACTTAGACTGTGTTCCAACAGACTCAAATGTTTTTAATTTCGTAAATTCTGGTGGTACGTAATAAAATGTGCATATTTTTTGTGATCATTTCTGTTTCTTCATTGTGAAAATCAATGACGACTCAACTAATTTTGTAATTTGATTTCCCTCAAAGACGTAATCTGTCACCTGATGAATCAAATTTTTCAATTGCACTCTTTTTCGAGGGGGGTGCTCGGGTAAGCGCCCACCCCTAAAAAATCATGATTTTCTGAGTTGAGGCCCCTGGGCGCTAACGCGGTCGAGTACGGTAGTAGAAAGTGATCACGGTATCGCAATCCGGTCATGCTGCATTTTACAATTGTTGATTATTACCTAGTAATGATTATACTAACGTGCAAAAAATATAATTTTGTTGAATTTTATTGAATGCAAATAAATTTCAACTTGTTCCATCGTAAGCGAATGATTCCGATCGCATTTTCAGCGCTCGATGCTGTAGAAATGAATATCCGTCATGTTTTAACATGAAATGGTGTTCTTTGACCCGAAAGGTCAAATCGATAATTTACCAATGAAAACGATGGATGATGCCAATGTGTTCAAAATACCATAGCTCATTTAAATATGTTAATGTTATTGAACGCAACACGGAAGGAATTTGTCGATGTTTTTGTACGATCTTTTGGCTTGGATTTTGATGGAAAAGCGGCATGATTTTTTTTTAAATAAAAAAATTTTTTGTTTTCCAAAGATAAACTGAGCATTTGAATATAATTCAACATTGTTTACAGTGATAACAGCTCATTGTCAAAACAAAGCTAACCCATTCGCGCTAGTCGCAATAAACATCAATACTTTTGAATTGGCGTCAATGACTGCGGCGAAACTTTTAGGCATCAGAAAAGATTAAAATAACACCTTTAAAAAAACTGCCGAAAAATCGCCCTGGGCGGTTTCTTGGTCCCAATTTATTTATTTTTAAACCCAAACTGCCGTTTAACAGCCCTGGGCGAATTTACGGCAGAATCCGGTAATCTTGTAAAATTGTAGTAGTCCAGTTTGGATACTAATATTGGAAAATGGTACCCCAAGGACGAGATTTACTAGTTTGTGTCTGTGTGATACTTCAAATTTTGAGTTCTGGCACCAATAGCAATAGATTTTAACATTTGTGGCTAACATTTTCTAAATTGCCCAAGGAACACAATGACATGTATCTTCACACTAACCATTCAACTTTACATAATTTAAACTTTTTTATTTTGCAGTGTTTGTTCAGGTCAAAATCAGTTCAACAAAATGCTCAGCAAAATGGTTCTAGACCACCTTCTAGAACAAGCAATGGTGCTAAATCCCCAGAGCCAGAGCCAGAGCCACAACCAGAGCAGGAACCGGAACCAGAACCTGAAACTGAAAGGGAGCAGGAACCAATGCCTCTACCAGAAAACGAGAATGACATCAAGAATGAAAATGAAAATGTGGGTGAAAATGAAGTTGTACCACAACCAGACGCAGAACCTGTGCTTGTGCCAGTACTCTTAGATGATGAGGATGAAGTTGACATTGATCTTCTCATGCGTAAGTATTAATGGTGGTGCATCTAGACAAGTTTATCAAGGCATTTGTCAAGTGTGTGTAAATTTTTCTTCTGTAGGTTTACAAACACAAATTTGGTGCAGTCAAAAACTGTTCCCAGGCATTCAACCTAATAGAGATGAACAAAATGTTTCAATAGTGTCACATGATCTAAAATGAAATGTTCACTGCTAAATTAAAAAAATTGTAACAGTTCCTGACTGAAATTCATGAATATTTGTCTCCCAGGGAAACTGGTGGACAATGTGGTTGACAGTATTCTTTCATTTCATACGAGTATATCTGGATGGTCAGTATATCAGTGAATTCTTATCTTTTTATATTACATTGTTTTTTAGAAAGGATACCAGAAAATCCTAAAGCTCTTCTGGACTGTTGTGCTGCTTCTCAAGCGTGCATGGTTCTACTTGTTCTTAAACAACATCTGAAGGACACTTTTGGATTTAGAGACAGGTAATATAAAAATATTTATCTTTAATATTATAATATTCACACAAAATGTGTGTGATATGGTACACTGCATTTCTGTGTCAGAAGTACATGTAATACAACACACTTCATATGTTATGGCATATTTTCTTTGTTCTTCACATCAAAATTCAAAATGGCTATTTTCCTTCAATGAATGTTTCATGATCCAATTCAAGATGGCTGAATGGTAGACATTTAAATCTAATTATCCACTGTGGTTGAATTCGTGTTTTGTTCTTAGCTTCATGCATATTAGGCTATGTACGTAGCCAGTAACTATATGTAACATTGGTCTTTGCATGGTATCTTATACTTTTCTGCATTATTTACAGCACTATTCACAGGTATTCCCCTACTGAGGCAGCCAAGGTGTATGACAAAGCACTCAACAGGAAGCATGGGTTGACCTTTAACCCTGAACGAGCTTTACAGTTTTTGAGGCAAGGCGTTCCACAAGTGCCACTTTCGGATGAAGCAAAGAAAGATATTGTTTCTGAATACCTGGATGTAAGTTTGTTTTGAGAACATGGCTATTCAAATTATTTTACATAATGTTTAATGGACAGATAATAAATTTATTGTTGCAATCTGTGCAAATTAATCAGGGATGAAAAGTGCATCACACTTAAAATCAACTAGATTGTAATTGAAGGTTATTATAGAAATAATGGTGTCAAATTGTAAAATTTTACTAACAGCTGCTTTCAATATAAAATTAATTCAAGGATTCAACAATCATATAATCTTATATCAAACACTTATTTATCTAATCTTTCATTTGTATAATAGTTCAAAGCATTGATGGAGATGTTGGATCCTGCTGAAGATGAAGAAGAAACTGGCAGAGCTAGTCCCAAAATTGCAGAAGCAACTAATGCCAGAACACCACAACCTACAACTGGATCTGCATGTGGTACTGCCAGTCCAGGAGGAGCAGACCAACCAAATGCAACAGATAATAAAGATGAAAATAATACGGGTAAACAAGAGACAACGACTGTGGATCTAGCTGCTCCTATACAAAGTCTAGTTACGAATATTGGATTAGACAGGACACCGTATCCATACAACCTGCAGGTAATTTCTCATACTGATAGCTGATAATAGCAACAAATTAGCGTGTGAAATATCTATTGAACCCGGTAGGAACTAATGTATCTTGCATGTCTGTACCTTGCATGTGTTTAACCAGAGCTAAAATGATTAATAACTTTCCACGACAGGTTACAAAGCATCCAAAGAGATCAAAACCGAAGCCAAAGCCAAAGCCAAAGAAACCAAGACACAGAAAGAGGAAAAGAATATCCTTTTGATAGTGCATGTGTACAATAAATTTATCAATGAAAGGCAAGGTTTTTGAGAAGGGGAAATGTCTGTCCTTTTTGTGGTGGTGGTGATGTTTAGACACCTGGATTTTTACCTTGTCCATATCGTATATTAAGGGAAAATGTCCATGTTGTGGTTGTTTTCTTGGGATTACAATAACTAAACAGTTTGTATCCACTTCCCTTCAAACATGGATTTTTATATTAACCAGTTTGGGATCTCAGCTAAGTTAGATTATGGTACATGTCCTATGTATATTTTTCAAGATATTCATTAAATTTCACTTGTCTTTCTGTGATTACTCAAACAATTTTTATCTGATCATCTTAAATTTGAGAATCTTGGCGATCACTATGAAAAAGTTCAATTTTGGTGTTATGATGACTTTATTTTTGGTCAGAATTGTTTCCACCTAAATGTTAGCCAATGTTTTCCAATATTTAAGAGAATCTTAGCGATCACTATGAAAAAGTTCAATTTTGGTGTTATGATGACTTTATTTTTGGTCAGAATTGTTTCCACCTAAATGTTAGCCAATATTTATGGGAATCTTAGCGATCACTATGAAAAAGTTTAATTTTGGTGTTATGATGACTTTATTTTTTTTTTGTCAGAATTGTTTCCACCTAAATGTTAGCCAATATTTATGGGAATCTTAGCGATCACTATGAAAAAGTTTAATTTTGGTGTTATGATGACTTTATTTTTGGTCAGAATTGTTTCCACCTAAATGTTAGCCAATATTTTCCGCACAAAATCTTTAGATATTATTGCATTGTTTCATGACTTTTATAATCAATTTTGCCGTGCAAAGAAAAGATATTGCATTTTAGTTGGTTTATCCATCCATACATTTGTTATTTAATCTGGGTTCTCAATGGACAAGGTTTCTTGATGCTCTTTCAGACATTAATGGATGTACATTGTGAATTTCTCTATTGTTTTTTCAATTGTATTGATTTTCCCTTAACCCTTGTTACTTTTCTTTGGATGTCAGTGATGGAGACAGCGGTTCCAGTGATCCAGACTTCATTGTGTAACCGAGAATGAGAAATCTAGGAACGGGAATATTTATCACAGTACTTTAAAAGTGAATCTAATTCCAAAACTTTAATGTGATTGAAGGATTAAATTTATCTATTGTGCTTGCATTTTTGGAGGAACTGAACCTTTTCAAGACTTACTTAATCCTAATCATCGGCTAGAAGAGCCCATGGAACGATAATGATTCAGACATCTAACTATCATCTGTGGATTCAAACAATAAATACATTCCGGTCCTAATCAACTTTAATGTCGGATGAAGATATTACCTTTGCGCTGTGGTCAACAATTAGGAATGTTGCTCTTTTATGTACAGCAGAATTGAGGGGATGGCTTCAAAAACTTTGCTTAATGAAATGCATGATGTTCACAAACCTCCCCAAATGTCTTATTTCAGCTGTTTTACTTGTGTACCAGATTCTACCATGAACTCAGTAATACTATTTGTAAATACCATTTTTGTCACATACTTTATTTTGGAGATCATAGTTACTGTGTTCATCACTTATTCTTTGATTTACACATGAACAATGGGGGAGGCTGTACAGAGATAGCATTTGTGAAGCTAGAAAATTTTACATTGTATGTTTGACATATAACTGAACTAGATTTAAACTAGTGTATCATATTGCAACAAATTATACAGCTTTCTTATACTATTTAATAAAAAATACCATTAATTTATGTCTCTTGTACTATATAGGACTAAGTTCTTTTTTTGAAAAATGATATGCAATCATAAAAGAATTTAGAATTTGCATCTAAATTATAAAGAAAAAACTGAGACATTTGAATTCTTTAAAATTGCTATTTTTATTATCAAGGGTTATGTAGCTGTAGATACAAAGTCGCTAATTCTGTAGTTAGAGAAATTTTCCTGTAACTTTTTAAAAAGAACATGTTTATACAGTTTATACTGCATCTTATTTTCAATTTTTCCAAGTGTTGAGAAAACTCTGCCACTTTTATGTAAAACATCTGCCAATATTTTAAGAATTGGTCCTTATTAAAGTTGTCGTGTTCATGAATTTTCCTTTGTGTTTATCTTCATCAGTGAGGTTATCAGGTTTGGGCTGGCCAAGCCAAACCAAACCAAACCAAACCAAACCAAACAGTCTGATTTTTGCCCAAAACATTGATGCACATTTTTGATCTATGGCATAGATAGTCGTGTATTTGAATGTTGCGTCCTGTTCTTCTTTGCACTGTCTCTATTCTCAGTTGTTCAGTGAACATTTACCAAATCAGTTCACCTTTCTAGAACTTCAATGATAAATTGAGAAAAATTGCCACTTTTCTATGTACCGGTAAATGTGCTCAAAAATGTCTGTCCTTGGTGTATCTATCAAGATTCTCAATTGGGACAAGGTTGTAATAGTTATGCTATGTTTTATTCATGGTTCAACTCTTGGTTGCTAGGAATGCCAGGCATCATTGGTAGAACATGGCAAGTTGATTTGGTGCTATTAAATTCTAGTTCTCCTCTTGTTACACTTTCAGTAATACACTAGCCAAGCAGTACTTTCAAATAAATTGTTCGGTTGTATATTTTTTTAATGGCTGCTGCTATGTGCACACGTTTGTTAGTCCCCGAAAACGGGGACTTATGTTTTGACCTTCGTGCGTTCGGACCTGCATCTTAGAAATGCCTGGGCCAATCACAATCAAACTTCACACATACATCATACATGATAGTATACATATGCACGTCAATTTGTTTCACCATCTGATTCAAGATGGCCGAATGGCGGCCATTTTTGTGCTAAAAATCATCAAAATCAAGCATTTCTCGGCTGTTTACAGATGGATTTTGTTCAAACTTGGTATATACATTAAACATTATGGGACCTTAATGCAAATAATTTTGTTTTTCAGATAAGATTCAAAATGGCCGACTGGCGGCCATTTCGTTTTAATGAATGTGGTTCTCGTGCCATATCTCTGACTTGCTTTCACTGATTATGTTCAAATTTTCAATATACATCATGTCATAGACAGATATATTGGTTTGACGATCCTATTCAAAATGGCCAAATGGTGGCCATTTTTGTGCTAAAAAATCATCAAATATCAAGCATTTATGGATGGATTTCGTTCAAACTTGGTACATATGTTAGACATTACAGGTTCCTGATGCACATCATTTATTTTTCAGATCGAATTCAAAATGGCTGTCTGGTGGCCATTTTGTTTTAATGATTGGGCTTCTAGAGCCATATCATGCTTTGACTGATTATATTCAAACTTTATATATTCGTTATACATCATGTTATATATATACATGTATTCAAAATGGCTGATTTTGAATGCTGTTCCAGAGCAATATCTCTCTATATGGACAAGTACTTGTTTGACGAGCAGATACAAATGTCAATCATTTTAATGTTAAAAAATCATATTCCTGACATGGTTATATTCCAGCTATATTACTATAAACAAAACTATATGTTAAATTTGATAACTAACTGGGACTGTGCCATGCATGGCTTGTTGTTTTCTGTATGAAATCATTATTGATTACATCTGGCTTGTCACTATTCCAGCCATACAGGAGTTACCATCAGAAGCGGCATGGGATGGGCGAGATCTGCTCAATTTTGAAATCTATACTCACTGAAATGCTATTTCCTGCATTTTGAGAGGCAAATTTTGGTGGGGCAAAGCCCCTCCAATATTTTTTTCGAGGGGGGGCGACCAAAACCAAATTGCTTGTCTTGAGGAAAGTCACTCATAAATTTCATGTTGGCAGTGGTGAAGAATCATGTTTTCTATCAGAGGTCATCACTGCCATGTGACAGGTGGTTGCACCCAGTCATGCATGTGAGTTCACCCAACACAAACTGGACTTAGGATGATTACTCCAACTCAGGATGGTTTACTGCACAGTTCATCTGTCAGAGTATGCTCTCTGACAACTTCCTTACTGAACTAGATTGGAAGGGTTCTTACCTACATATTATTAGACAGGTATCATCTACTGTAGAATACTTTATTTTTGCTCGGAATTAATTTTGGCTGAAGGAATGATAATATACCTTTTTTACATTCAATTTGTCAAACGTCAGTGAAAATAAATTCCACACAAAGTACCAAAAATGTCTTTTCAGCGAATATTTATTCCAGCTAAAATAAAGTATTTTACAGTATTTGCCAACCCACAGCCCACCAGAATAATGGCATCTGTGACACAGCTAGGGCATTCTATATGTGTATGTGTTCTATTTAGTGATGGTAGTACCCAATCTCCCAGGCAGAGTTCTATTCCACGAATATATCTCTGCCACCACGCGATCTTATGCTCATCGTTGATTGGTCGATGCGTCACAGTGGTACTTCTTTCAAAGACGCTCACCAAAACATTGTCAGCAAGTGTTCGATTTTCGAACCCGACGAATGTGTACGCGTTGTTTGCAGATTTTGGCTGTTTTCAAAGTTAGAAGCTTCTTTTTTTTTTTCTGTAACACAAACGGTGCGGCAGTAGGAAGATTTAGTCGTCAATACTACGAAGTTCTTTCGTTAGCTTGTAATTCTTCGACTGGCAGACGACAGGTGAAGAAGTTTTATGAACCGAGTAACACCTTGGTAACGGTTATTATGCAATAGAATTATTTTCTTTTGTAATTTATAGCTATTTCACCGTTTTAAGTGCGTTTACAAAAAAATCATTATCAGTTATCAATGAAATATTTTAAAACTAGTTTATCAGTAGGAATAAATCAACACAAGATGCCTCTCATAACAAAAATACGCAAATAATTGGCGTAGTAAAAGTCTTGTGGTGTTTCACCACAAAATGGCGGTGTGTGGTGGCAGAGATACTTTCGGTGATCTAACCGCAAGGAACTCTGGGAAGGAGAATGGGTAGTACCAGTACCAGTACCAGTACCAGTACCGGTACCGGTACCGGTACTCAAAAACTGTGCTGAGTCATTTGAGAACCATTGCATCATCCAGGACCATCTGAGTCAACTTCCACACAACAACCCTGACTTTTAGGGAGTAAGCCCAAAATTATTTTACCTATATGTCCCTGATTTGTTCAGTTTCACCAGACACCAACATCATTGCAACACCAACACATCTTCTCTACCATCATGCGTAGCTTAATTGGCAAATATCTCTATTCAATATGGGCGACTACAATAGTTTTTTTTTGGTCCTTTTTAAAAATCTTGTTTGTATCAATCAGTATTTCATATACAAAGTACTAATTGAGACCTGATACAAGAAGCGTGTATGAGAAGGTGATGTCAGATTATTACCAAATAAACTCCTGAATACCAGCACAAGCCATGGTTGTTCTTTTGCAGTCAGTGGAAAACAAAACCTAAGGCAAATGTGCTCATACCATTGTATAAACAACATTTGATTGATAAATTTTCATCATGAAAAGTACACATCTGAGACTGATTCTTAATCCCAGGGTCAATGGTTCATATCCCCACACATGGGATGCCAACAGCTTACCAGTATATTCACAAAAGTTTGGATTCTAAATACAAAACAGATCAAAGTTAAACTGGAAATAGCTCCCGTGTGATCAGAGCATGTATTATAAAGGTATAGGCTTTGCCTAATAAGTGAATGTAATTGCATGTAGGTCAATCCATCAATAAAATTGATCAAGATGTCTGAGAACCTATGACATACTGTATATGGAAACACATAATTTTGATATGGGCATTTTGAAAAACATGCACGGACACTATACTTGTAAACAAAGGGCACTAATGAGGCACTCTATGAATGAGGTATTTCTAGAGGTCGGGGTTTGTCTAGTCTGCAGTTGAATAATTTTTGCTTTGATTTTCTTATGGGTTTTTTTCCCAATGCGACTTAATTTCACTTGTTTTTTTTAATTCGGGCGAAACGAAAGCGACGCAGGCCCGAGAACACTACATGTAACCAGCACATTTACAAATCAAGATTGGCAGAAAGTTGTACGGCATCTGTCTTCGATTTTGTCTATTGATGAATATGACGCACAAAGTGAAATTGAACTTGCGCTCATGAAAATCGGAAAGGGTACTGCTTTTTCGTCGAACTCAAAAAATGGCCGCGTCACTCTTGTAACTGCGCATGCGTACTCCCCATACTCGCATACATTTGATGTTTTTAGTCGCTGTATCTACCCAAATAACATCCATCATGATATAATAAATCATTATATACTAAAATTCGCAAATTTGCAGACCTTCCGATGAAATATTACCAGTTTTTTTTGTTTGTTTTTTTGCAACAGAATACGTTATTGCAATAGATAAGATAAGATAACAGCTTTATTACAACCGTGTAGAAAATTTTACATTTCTAATTTGGTGTTTAAAATGTAATAAAGTTAATAATGAATAACTAAAAAAGTAAGTAGGCGAAAGTTGAGTAAATAAAAAGTTAAATAAGTGTGACTGAGTGTATTCTTTTGTTTGTTCATTTACTGTTACTCAAGTACACATAGAGGGCTATAATAGTATCTTTATCTTTTGATTATAAGATATGTTTAAATTGTTTTTCTTTATCCAAATTCAGGAA